GTAGAAAAATAAAAATATACGAATGTTATAATTAATAATATATAAAGAAATTGTGAAATGTTCTAAGTTCTTTATATGATTTTCATAATTTTATGAAATATTACAAATTATGAAATTAATGAATTTTATAACATAATTGTAATAACATATTTAAATCTAATACTAATATATACTAAAATACTAAAATACTATTGGTACTTCTTTATTATTATACAATAAAATTAATTAAAACAAAATAAATTTAATATGATACAAGATAATACCAATATAACACAAAGAAAAATTAAATACATGAGAAGAACCAATTAAAATATAGAAATAAAACACATGCTAAATTTTAATAAATTGATCTATATTAAGCATATTGTTATAAGTTTGTTTAAATTAGCTTACAAACAAGAACCTGAATTAGAAGAGAATATAAACTAATAAAGAAAATATTAAGAGAAAAGAGAGATATCTAAAGTCTATGTCAATTTCTATGGAAATTGTATTTATTTAAAAAGGAATAATAATATGAGAGAGTTGTAAGAGAGTAAAAATCAAAGGGAAAGAGAATAAAGGAATAATAAAAAGAATTTGAAGGGTAATTCTATACTTACATAAAGCTTTCTAGAATTAAGATAATATGATTAGTAATAACAATAACAAAGTCTCTTTCACTTTGTTTTTTTCACAAGTGAGGAATATTTATTAACAAAAAGTAAAAATACTTATAAATTCAATTTTAATAATTCAATAACAGCAATTTGTTTAGTATAATATGATATAAAGTCCAAAGTCAATAACAATAATTTGCTTAGTGCAATATGATATAAAGCCGTCAGTAATTTGATAGGTTTAATATGATATAAGACCACTTATATACAAGATTTGAAGTATATAAAGAAAATATGAGAGGTAAAATGTATTTGGAGGAAGATTTTTGTTAAGAAAGATTTTTATTTTCAGTTACAAAATATCAAGTTAAAACTCAGATAGCACCTCTATTTATATATTTTTTGAAATTACAAAAAGTGAAATAAATAATTATAAAAATATATAAAAGTAAAATAACTAATTATAAAAGTGAAATAACTTATATAAAAGTAAAAGTAAAAAGTGAAATTTTAAAAAAGTAAAATAATACTAAGAGATTTTGTTATTTGAATATTTTTAAAATTTTCATATTTTTCGATTATTTTTGAATTTGTGATTTTTATATTATTATTGTAACAATATATTAAAAGTATTATTAATCTCAAATATACAAAAATATTAATAATTATATTAAAACATGTGATATATATCAATACAAATGCAAAACTAAAAAGAATAATAAATTGATATTAATATTAGTAACTTAACTATTTAAGAAAATTGATATAGATCTTATTGAATCACTTTTATCAATATATAATAATAATTACTATATTATTATCACTATTAATTAGGTTACAAAATGAGCTAAAGCAAGAGTTATATTTGATATTGTCATTATAACTATAGTTTCATTTTTATATGAAGATATTATATATAGATATAAATATACAAAAAGAAATTATTTCTGATAGAGATACAATAATTTAATTGTAAAACTTCTAGAAAGATATCAAGTAAAACATTAACTCTTAGTGTCTTATCATCCACAAATAAATGATCTAATAGAATACTTGAATAGAACAATTTGTAAAGTACTTGCAAAATATATATAATTATATAAACAAGACTGGAATCACTATCTTCAAATATTTTATTTGTATATAGAACAATATTACTCAGTTTGAAGCATTTTATTTAATAAATAATCGATAAGTGAATATACTATTTGATATTCAATTAGAACTACCAAATAATAAAAGCAATATTAGAAAAATAAATAGTTCAATGAGCTTGTAAAATTATTAATCAACTAGAAGAAGATCAATAAATTAGTTTACAAACTAATTAAAGATACTTTTATTAATAAAATTATATTTCATATTAAAATGAATATATTAAAATAAAAGTCAAAAACGTAAAAGATCTTTGACTTTTTTTTAATATATTAATAATAATTATTTTGTTTTGAATAACAACTAAAATGTCTTAGATAATCAATCAACAGATTATGTATCTCACTTAATAATTAATATCAAATACATCTCAATTATTATCTAAATTAAGAATTAATCTGAAACACAACACATATACATAATTAAATTACTATACTAATTTTAAAATTAATATTTTTTTGGAACTTATTATTAATAATGAAATATTTATTATTCAATTTCTAATTTATTTTTTTCAAAAGATTATTAATTATTTGTTCTTTAGATAATCATGTATTGAAATGTTCAATAATAAAAAATTGAGAGAGGCTTATAACAAAAAAGAAAAAATATTGTTTTATAACAAAATGTTTTTATTTTTGTGTTATAATTCAGATTAATAAGAAAACTAATTTTTATTAGGAATTATATATTAAATATTTATGAAATTAGAGAATTCTATTGTGAACTATTTAAGATAGGATCTTTATAGAGAAATCAAGTGTGTAAATTATGAAATTAAGAGATTTGATAATTAAATCATAATTTTTCAAAATCTTACTTGATAATTGTTCAAAATCTTGATAATTTGGTATTGTCCAATTTCCAACACTATTATACATGAAAGTTAACATGATTTGGTTCAGACAATCATGACTTCACACGATTACGATCACATGACTGGATACGGATCGAATCCTATGTCACATGATACTGCCTGGCTTTACGGATCCAAAATGGAACTGCGGTTAATCATACGATAACTGGTTAGGATACATCCAATTCGAGACACAAACCAATAAGAATGCGTAAATTTTTAATAAACGAAACGTATGCTTAAGCCTGTCTTGGAACACTAATTAAAAATGTTAGGGAGGCAATTAAATACATGTATAAACTAATTGTATCATGTAATGTACACTTTCATTGATTAATTTTGGCCAATAAAAGCGAAGAAAATGAATTCACAAATGCGCTACTTATGCCAGTATACATGTATATTTATTCAAAATATATAACTAGCCATAGATTCTATATAACCCATTTCACGATTGGTTACTACAACCGATGCCTGAGTGATTACTTTACATTTTTTGTCACCAATATTGGTTCCAATTAAAGGAAACGAGCAAATATCAACTATTATTTTATCGAGCTCGTTTTCATCACATGATACTTCCATAAATTCCGGTTCAATTTTGCTGGATTTTTCATACCATTTATACTCCACAACAGGTTCTTGAACTTTCAATCGGAAACAGAAAATCGATATTATCTGTTGGATGATCCCAATAACCATCAATTCGATTTCATTTTTTCTTTCGGGTTTTTTTATCGTGCGGTAACGATTAGCCTCTTCCACAATTTTTCCCCGCAATTGTGCAATGAACGGATGCTCACCTTCTTTATCAGGGATTGCAAATCCTCGGTTGCTAAGGATAGCATAAACAAGCTGGCGTATTTTCGTAGGAGCAGCATAGATAACTTCATCGGCTCCAACACGATATTTAGAAAAATCATCCATATATTCTAGAAACTTATTCATTGTAGAAACCAAGTTTGCTTCCAGATATTGCATATCCTTTCCTTCGGACTTGAATTGCTCGTTGACTCTTTGGTTTCCTTCAGTTTTGAGTTGCTCGTTGGTTTCTTGGTTTCCTTCGGTTTTGAGTTGCTCGTTGGCTTCTTGAATGACCGTTTTGATGATATGTTGTTGCAAGACACCTTCGATTAGGGTTTTGTTAAGTTTCTTTCCTGTGGTTTCGGTAGAGCATCCATATCTATTCAAAAGTTTTTTCGCCTCCTCCTCATTTACATCGGTTCTTTTCAAACTACAAAAACTTTCAAGGTTCTGTTTTAAACCGTTGATATCATTTATCAGTTGACCAACATTATTAGGATCATGATCTCCAAAACGAAAGTTTGTTGCCTCTCCCAAAGCGAGTTGATATTTAGCAGCCTCGTCTTTCAGGGACGTGTGCGCATCAACCAGATTTTGTATTTTCTGATCTTTCAATTTTAAATCTGCTTTCAACTGTTCTTTTTCGTTATGGAGCTGTTCGATATTTTGACCTAATGCGTATTGTTGCTTTATTGTTTGTTCATTTTTCTGGATCTGTTGATATTGATGTTTTAATACTTGTTCGTTTTTATTGAACTCTTTAAGTTGTTTACTTAATATTTGTTCATTTTCCTTGATCTGTTTTAATATTTGTTCATTTTGCTGGATCTGTTGTTCATTTTTCTGGATCTGTTGAGGTGGATTTATTATTTGTTCGAACTGTTGATGCTGTTGATTTGTTATTTGTTCAATTTGCTGGAAATGATGTTCTTTTTGGAGCTGTTGAGATTGATTTATTATTCGATCGTTTGCTTTCTTGTGATCAAAAGGGGCAACCTCGTCTTTCGAACAAATTTCCATAGGTTGGGAATTAGACATTTTATTAAAATTATCAGTAATTTTTCGTCCCTGAAGTCTTGATTTAATACGTATATATATTTGAACAATTATCGTTGTTTTAAAAAGGTTATCAAGTACAACCAAAATAAAAAACAAACTTTAATCATAATTATTAATTAGCTACGGTAATGATCATACGTAATTAGTAATAATAACGATGATTATCATTATTTAGCATAAACATTTCTTTATATTTTTGCCTTTTTTGGTGAACAGCAGCGAAATTCTCAATTATCTAATGATGATGGATTAAAAATTATCGCCATTACATGAATGAGAAAAGAGCCACATTCTTAAATCGAAGTCTTTCCAAGAAAATTTATCGTGTCTGTTTCATTTTTTCTTTGTTTTAGTAATTTCGCTCTTGTGCGATATGTCTTTATGATGTTTCCGAAAAAAGAAATTCATTTGTGTGTTGTTGCTAGTTACCTTTCTCAATTGTCTGTCCACAAAAAATAAGAAGTCATCATATGTGATCATATTTTTATATGTACTATAAAGTTCTTTGCTACCTTCTTTTTCATCTGACTGTCCACAAAAAAACGATTCTTATAATTAATTTCCCTGCGAATGTGAAATTTTTTCATCATGGAAATTTTTTATTTCTCTTATCAAATTGAATTTGAAGCTGATGTTCCGGAGGACATTCGTGTTGTAGTTGGTATAGGTAAAAGAATAAGAATAATCGTTCATATGCTAAAAACTTAGAATTAGCTTTATTAATTTATTTTTGATTCTTTGAAATCATAGATTTTGGAACAACATACTCGGTAATCTATCTTGTGTTAAAGTTACTGAAATTTAATTTTTGAAAGCTTCCACGTTCTCGTTACCTAATACACTTTTTTCTCATCTTTTGATAATAATTATCAAGAGCTTTGCGTATGCTCACGTTCAAACTTGCGAGGTTATTACTAATGACGATTGGCCCGGAAGGAAAGGACCATTGAAAATCAACACTGTATTACAATATGATGAAAATTTCAACAATGTTATCGCGTGGGGTTCTCAAGCTTTAGTTGGCGAACCTCAGAGGCGTCGAAAGAAAACTGCGGCAAACTCATCAAAACCCATCGAACTTTTCAAGTTGCACTTAGGTAACATTCCAGAAGAACAAAAAGTAAAACTCCCTCCAAATTGTCCTGCAGAAAAGGCCATCACTGATTATCTTCGAGAAATGGGTATGTGATTTATTATTAACAAATTCTTGTGAAAAATCAAAATATGTTTGATGATAGCTAAAGAAATTATTATTTATTTAAATTTTTCATAGGTAAGGTAAAATCGGGTGCCAAATTTAAATGTGAAAATATTCAACCGTCCTCTTTGGCTTATTTATTCGCATCGGATGTTATTATTGTAGTCTATTAAAGAAGAAGTTGAACGCCGTTGGCCAGGAATTGACTTCTTTAACCATGTGCGTTTTGTGGTCACTGTCCCCGCAGGTAATCTTACATACAAAATAAAATAATTGTTTCCGCAATACCAAGAAGCTTAACAATTATAACTATAAATAACCGCAGAATTCACCGAAAGTACGAAGACTATCATGAGAAAATGCGTATATGATGCTGGATTAATTAAAAGCCTTGGTACACAGAATCTAAAATTCACTACCGAACGTAAGAAAATTACCACTTGATTTTCACATATTTTTCTCGTTACTTCAATATTTATCTGGTTTTTATTTTAGCTGAAGCTGCGGCCCTATACTGCATAAAGTCGCTAAAAGAACAGGACTTGACAACCGGAGGTGTGCACACATGGCTATACTTTTGATATATACATAAATTCTAACTTTTATTTTTTAAATCAGCAACATATCTGGTCGTCGATTGCGGTGGCGGCACAGTAGATTTAACCGTTCGAAAACTATTAGATGATAATCAAATTGGCGAGACCACGGAACGTTCCGGCGACTTTTGCGGTGGTACTTATGTGGACAAAGAATTCCTCAAGTATCTCGAAAGTAAGGTCGGAGAATATGCAATGAAAATGTTACGGGATAAGCACTACGGCCAACTTCACTATATGATTCATCAATTTTGCGAACGTGTCAAGATTCCGTTTACCGGTGAATCTTCCGATTTTAAGACATACGAATTGGATATTGAAAAAAATTGTCCCGCCTTGAAACAATATGTTAGCGGTCAAGCCAGAGAAGAGTTGTCGGATGAAGAGGAATGGATAATTGAACTTGATTTTTCGACTGTCAAGCGATTTTTTGATCCTGTTGTCGAACGAATCCTCCGATTGATCGAAGCACAACTTGACAAAAGTAGATATTGTTCTGTGATGTTTGTGGTCGGCGGTTTTAGTGAATCCAAATATCTTCAAAAAAGGATTAAACAAAAGTTTAAGAGTTGCAGAGTTGTAATTCCTCCTCATCCCATGGCAGCCATAGTGCGTGGCGCAGTTGAATATGGCTTGAATGCCGATGCTATTAAGACTCGTGTATTGAAATGGACATACGGTGTTCAAACTTATCCAAAATTTCAACGAGGTGATCCGCCATCACGTAAAACTTCAGATGGACGTATTTATAAATTCCATTTAATGGCCAAAAGAGGTCTTGAGGTGGAAGTAAATCAAAAATTTTCTACCACATTGTATCCAGTCTATCCGGATCAAAAATCTATATTATTCAAATTTTTTTATACAACAAAATTCACAGCAAGTTACTGCGATGAACCCGAAATGAGTGTTTTAGGAGAATTTGAAGTTGACTTGCCAGATACTCATTTGGGGCTTGATAGACCTGTATCACTTCATTTATGTTTTGGTGCGATGGAAATTATTGCAGTGGCAAGAAATGAAACCAACGGAAAAATTTATCACACTACCTTTAAATTAGAATTCTAGGTTAATGTATCTCTTATCTGCATTATTTTCAAAACTTTCTAAATTGATAAATTAAATTCACATCATGGATTTTTGTTTTATTCACAGAGAAAAATAAATCAATCACACATCAATTAAGGGATTACACCCTGATGCTAATGTTATATATTTAATTGTCATTTCTATAACTGCTATATTTTTTAAAATAAAGTATCGTTAACTGGAATTGTATTAAGCCAACATAATTAAAATAATTGAAAAACTGTCATAATACGTCGAGAACATGATTATTCTGCGGCACTTTAACATAGCGTAACTAGTAGAGAATGTTTTTTAATTCTTCGTCGAACAAATTGCTGTATTACTACATTTACTTCTAATAATTTACAAAAAGTAAATGAGAAAAGTATCATTTATTATATTTTAAATATTAATATTTACTTGATTTCAAAGTACAGAGGCATTTTATATTAACTGATGTAAACAGTATTGGAACAAGTTTGAATCAGATTGTCTAGTCCAGTAAACCAATCTATTGGATACAACCAGCTGAACTTAATATACATGTTCATGCATTATATCCAATTTATTCGATAATTTTTTGATGACTTATTCCAGTGCCCAACACTGGATGTAAAGCGTATTTTGAGGTTATAATGGTAGACTGCGAACATTAGGATGTTAAAAAGTCCTGTTTGGTCCGGTCTGACTCCGGAAGTTGAGCCTTAATCAGATTCGGTCTAAAGTCAGACTTTTGAGTAGTCACGTAATATCCACGTGCATGCTTAATTTCCTTGTTAAACGAATTAAACAAATCCGAAAGTGGTGTTACCACATTACTATGACGATATCGATATTGTATTCTCGTTTGTTTCTTGAACTGTTGTCGTGTTATCGTCATCGTTATTTTATTTGATCATAATTTGATAAAGTATCCTGGTACTAATCTCGGTTACAAGTTGAGTAGAATGTTAAATTAGCTGAGCTGGTAAGTCCAAAATCAGCAATGATTTATTAGTATATTGCCAGGAAGCCCTTACTTAAATATTCTAATTTTTTTGCCAATTCAATGCTTCGTGTTTGTGTAGATTATCATAATCCATCCATCACTATCGAATATTCACTCGTAGCTGGGTTTTTAGATAACCAAGAGATCTATCATGCAGTCTGAAAAACAAAAAGCAATTTCTTTCGAAAATGCTTTATCATTGATCTAGTTGACTTGTCTTTAACAGGTTTATATCCTTTCCTAAAAAAATAATTTAAGTGTCAAAATTCAAAAATCTGCAAAGCTTAAACATCATTTTTTGAGTTTTATTATTCAAAATAAAATGTTAATGAACTGGCGATGACTGTGATGCTTTCATGAGAGTTATTGTAGCCTCTAGATTCTCTGACATACTGGCAGACAACTAAAAAATTGATAATATTTTAACGTTAATTATAATTTGAATTATATCCTGATACACAATTCAGTAAAATGAAAACAAAAATATAGTATGTTCAGATATTGGATATACCGGATTCACCCTATTTTTGTTGCATTCTTCAACATTTACATAAAATTCAACTATATAGTTTTCCCCTAATGTTAAACCCTCTTGTATACGTGGTTTTGCAATAATGATTTTACAAAGTTTGATTTCAGTACAAACATTTAAAAACTTTGGTTGGTAAACGAGCATTGGTAATCCCCAAGTAATGGAAAGTATATCATCACGCTCAAAGTGGGCTAATAACCTATTACAAGTGGAAATACCACTGTTTGCACTACTTTCTTAAAAATTGACTATAAGATAATTATTTGCTTTCTTTAATGTTTCAATAAATAATTTCATGATTGGTTACTACAACCGATGCCTGAGTGATCACTTTATATTTTTTGTCGCCAAGATTGGTTCCAATTAAAGGAAACGAGCAAACATCAACTATTATTTTATCGAGTTCATTTTCATCACATGATACTTCCATAAATTCCGGATTAATTATTTCGGATCTTTCATACCATTTATACTCCACAACAGGTTCTTGAACCTTCAATCTGAAACAGAAAATCGATATTATCTGTCGGATAATTCCAATAGCCATAGATTCGATTTGATTTTTTCTTTCGGGTTTTTTTACCGTTCGGTAACGATTAACTTCTTCGACAATTTTTTTCCGCAATTGTGCAATGAACGGATGCTCACCTTCTTTATCAGGGATTGCAAATCCTCGATTGCCAAGGATAGCATAAACAAGCTGGCGTAATTTCGTAGGAGTGGCATCGATAATTTCATCGGTTCCAACACGATATTTAGAAAAATCATCCATATATTCTAGCAACTTATTTATTGTAGAAACCAAATTTGCTTCCAGATATTGCATATCCTTTCCTTCGGTCTTGAGTTGCTCGTTGACTCTTTGGTTTTCTTCAGGTTTGAGTTGCTCGTTGGCTTCTTGGTTTCCTTCGGTTTTGAGTTGCTCGTTGGCTTCTTGAATGACCGTTTTGATGATATGTTGTTGCAAGACACCTTCGATTAGGGGTTTGTTAAGTTCTTCCCTGTGGTTTCGGTAGAGCATCCATACTTATTCAAAAGTTTTTTCGTCTCATCCTCGTTTACATCGGTTCTTCTCAAACTACAAAAACTTTCAAGGTTCTGTTTTAAACCGTTGATGTCATTTACCGGTTGACCAACATGATCTCCAAAACGAAAGTTTTTTGCCTCTCCCAAAGCGAATTGATATTTGGCAGCCTCATCTTTCAGAGATGTGTGCGTATCAACCAGATTTTGTATTGTCTGATCTTTTAATTTTAAATTTGTTTCCAACCGTTCTTTTTCATTCTGGAGCTGTATATTTTGTTTTATTACTGGATGTTGCTGATATAGATGTTCATTACTAACTTCGGTTTGTCTCGAAGAAGGGTTGTGCCGGAAATTTCGATTTAATACGTCGGTTCCTGGATGATGCTGATGTAGGTGTTCATTACTAACTTTGGTTTGTCTCGAGAAAGTGCCGTGCTGGAAATTTTGATTTAATACGACGGTTTCTGGATGCTGACATGGTTGTTTATTACTATCCACTTCGATTTGTCCCGAAAAGTGATTTAATACGTCGGTTCCTGTATGTTTATTGCTATCCACATGAGTTACTTCGGTTTGTCTCGAGTGATGAGGGCATTCATCACCACAATCCATATTTTCGGTATCAGATACTTTAGTAATTTTTATGTCCCTGAAAATCTTGATTTAAAGAAATGTAATCGTGTATTAATATTTCACTTGGTATGCATGCGATAGACATAATACGTACCATAATTAGCAAGTCGATATTGATATGGTGCAGATCGACAATACTATAAATTCTAAGAAAGTCTGGTTAAATTTGGATTTACTCAAAGTTTGATAGCGATAGAATTTATAACATAAAACATATCGATATTTTCGACTTGAGAGGTTCTGCACTCGGAATTTTAAAATTAAATTAAATTATGGTTGTTACATGAATGAGGAAAGAACCAAATTCTTAAAATCGAAGTCTTCGAATCATTTGCGATGTGTCATTACGAATATGTACACGTATAACGGTAATGTTTCCGAATAAAATTCATTTTGTGTGTTGCTAGTTAATTTCAACTGTCTACCCACAAACAATAAGAAGTCATCATGTGTGTTCACAATTTTTGCATGCACATGTATTATATGTATAAAGTTCGTCCTTTCTCATCTGTCCGTTCACGAAAAAAATACACATTCTTTATAAATAAATCACCTTTCAATAAAGAAAAATATCATGGAATCTCATTATCCCCCAAATCGTATATACAAATTTGAATTCGAAACTGATACTCCGGAGGACATTCGTGTTGTAGTGGGCATAGGTAAGACGCGAGAAACATGCGTTCATACGTGCCTAAACTTGGAATTAACTTTATTGATTTTTTGAAATCATAGATTTTGGAACAACATACTCGGTAATACTGAAGTTGCCGAAATTTAATTTTTTGAAAGCTTCCACGTTAATGCACTTTTTTCTCATCTTTTGATAATAATTTTTTTCTCATTTTTTGATAATTATTAAGAGTTTTGCGTATGCTCATGTTCAAACTTGCGAAGTTATTATCAATGACGATTGGCCCGGAAGGAAAGGACCATTAAAAACTAATACTGTATTACAATATGATGCCGATTTCAAAGAAGTTATTGCGTGGGGTTCTCAAGCTCTAGTTGGTGAACCTCAGAGGCGTCGAAAAAAAGCTGCACCAGACCCACCAAAACCCATCGAACTTTTCAAGTTACATTTTGGCAACGCTCCGGAAGAACAAAAAACAAATCTCCCTCCAAATTGTCCTGCAGAAAAGGCCATCACTGATTATCTTCGAGAAATGGGTATGTGATTCATCAACTAAATTCGTGAAAAAACAAAAATATATTTGATGTTAGTTAAAGAAATTATTTATTTAAATTTTCATAGGTAAGGTAAAATCGTATCTAAATTTGAAGTGTAAGAATATTCAACGGACCTCTTTTGCTTATTCATATCGGATGTTATTATTGTAGTTTATTAAAGAAGAAGTTGAACGCCATTGGCCAGGAATTGACTTCTTTAGCCATGTGCGTTTGGTGTTCACTGTCCCTGCAGGTAATTTTATATACAAACTAGTTGATTTTTCCTTAAATATCAAGAATTTTAATTATATTTATAAATTACCGCAGAATTCACCGAAAGTACGAAGACTATCATGAGACAATGCATATATGATGCTGGATTAATTAAAAGCTCTGGCACACAGCATCTGAAATTCACTACCGAACGTAAGAAAATTAGGAAATTACCACATATCTTTCTCGTTATGCAATATTTATTTAGTTTTTATTTATTTATTTTAGCTGAAGCTGCAGCCTTATACTGCGTAAAGGCGCTAAAAGAACAGTACATGATAACTGAAGGTGTGCACACTTGAATATACTTTTTGATGATACATAAATTTAACATTTATTTTTTAAACCAGTATCATATCTGATCGTTGACTGCGGTGGTGGCACAGTAGATTTAACCGTTCGAATACTATTAAGTGATGATCAGATTGGCGAAGCTACAGAACGTTCCGGCGACTTTTGCGGTAGTACCTATGTTGATAAAGAATTCCTTAAATATCTCGAAAGTAAGGTCGGAGAAGATGCAATGAAAATGCTACGGGATAAGCACTACGGCCAACTTCACTATATGATTCATCAATTTTGTGAACGTGTCAAGATTCCGTTTACTGGTGAATATTCCGAATTTAAGACATACGAATTAGATATTGAAAAAAATTGTCCCGCCTTGAAAGAATATGTTAGTGGTCAAGCCAAGGAAGAGTTGGATGAAGAAGAATGGATAATTGAACTTGATTTTTCGACAGTCAAGCGATTTTTTGATCCTATCGTTGATCAGATTCTCCGATTGATAGAAGTACAACTTGACAAAAGCATATATTGTTCTGTGATGTTTGTGGTCGGAGGTTTTAGTGAATCCAAATATCTTCAAAAAAGGATCAAGCAAAAGTTTCAGAGCTGCATAGTTATAATTCCGCCTCATCCCATGGCAGCCATAGTGCGTGGAGCGGTTGAATATGGCTTGAATGAGGATGCTATTAAGACTCGTGTATTAAAATGGACATACGGTGTTGAGGTTTCTCTAAATTTTCAGCCAGGTGATCCGCCATCACGCAAAACCTTGAGTGGACGTATTAAGAAATTCTATTTGATGGCCAAAAGAGGTCTTGAGGTGGAAGTAAACCAAAAATTTTCTATCAACGTGTTTCCAGTCAAGCCGCATCAAAAAGATGCGATAATTAAATTTTTTTATACAACAAAATTCACAGCAAGTTACTGCGATGAACCCGAAATGCGTCTTTTAGGAGAATTTAAAGTCGAATTGCCTGATTCTGATTCGGGGCTTGCTAAACCTATATTAGTTGAATTGTGTTTTGGTTCGATGGAAATTATAGCAGAGGCAAAAAACGAATCAGATGGAAAAATATATCGCAATACCTTTAAATTAGAATTTTAGGTTAATGCATTATTTTCCCCCTCTTTCCTAAAAATCCAATTCTTATATTAGATAAATCTTTTAAGTCTATTTAAATCAATTCATACTGTATTATATTTTTATTTGATTCAAAAAAGAAAGTATAAACCATTTACACATTAATAAAGGGGTTACAACAACACCCTAAAGCTAATAATATTACAAACATACCTTATCTATTTAATTACCATTTCTATAACTACAATGTTTTAAAAGAAAGTAAGTCAATTCTTGATTGAAAAAACTGTTATAATGCGTCGAGAACATGGCACCTTATCGTAGTACAGCTATTAGAGAATTTTGGTTAATTAATTATTGATTTTACCGAACAAAAATGTTTGACTATCACAATATCATTTATTGTTTTTTCTGAAATATTATTTATTTCTTGTAAACTGTGTACAAGTATAGGATGTAAAAATATAATGGGAGATTGCGACTTATTATAGATATTCTTTTGTTCCGGAGGGAGGTAGAATAATGTGATTAAAGACTTTTAACTATATCGATAATGTCTAGATATACCGATACGTAGTTCGACAGCTTTTCACCTTTAAGTTTATGATCATCGACACGAATATGTAAGAGATTTTATCTTTACCTTTCGCTTCGACACGATTGCTTTTCTAACAATAACACAGAATTTTATAGATTTTAGTCGCATATTTTAAGTTTATGCATTTGTATAATAAATTAAAATATGACGAAAAAAGAAGGAGCTTGCAAAACTACCTCTTCTAATTTTATTTAGTCAAGAGTTAATTAAGCGACTTGAGTTTCTTTTTATATTATAAAATAATTTAGTTTGCACATTATTGTATGTTATCCTCTTTGCATTTGCTTTCTCTGTAATCATAATTCTCGTCGAATTTAAATTTTTGGTGTCAACAAATATTTTAGTCATGTAGCCTTTTACACATCGTCTTCGATAATCCAAAGGCCAAAATATATTCGAGTTGATACCCCAGTGTAGGGACAGGAATCGATTCTCAACCCAGAATCGATTCTAAAATCGATTAATAATTTCGATTAATCGATTCATCGATTTAAATAAATTCGATTAATCGATTCTCAAGTACAGTATACAGTGGCTCACACATGTAACCGAACACGAAAATTAACTTTCTAGCATTTTATTTCCATGACTATTAGTTTGAACAAAATAAAAAAAGTGTTCATTTGAAACCCTGAAACCTCTAATATTTTTTAAAAATAATTTGACAACAGATTCTTTTGTGAAATAGAGTGGTTTAAATCAAAATTTACAATTAGTAAATTTCTCACATTGAAGAACTTTTTTCTATGATGGATCCAAATTTGAACCACTAATTAAAAATGTACTACTCTATAAAATCTACTTATTTACCAATT